CCATCTATACTAATCCCCTGGGGCCCGTGTTGAACACGCAGTCTGATTCAACTGGTCTGGGGTAGGCTCAGGGAGCCTGCATTGCTAGCTAACAAGTTCCCAAATGGTCCAGGAACCTCATTTTGAGTAGCAAGAACTTAGAGAAGCCATCACATTTGAACCTGGGAGATTTAGAAACGGGGTCACATGAATCCTTTGTGACCTCACCAGACATCAGAAGGAAGACTGTTCAGTGGTAGAAGTTCCCAGCTTGCTGATTTGTGAGGGAGAGAGGAGAGCTCCTCCAGGCACCAACTGAGGCTGTTTGGCTAGAAGTCTCTTCTTGGCTACTGGTCTATTTAGTCAAAGGCTGCTTCTGTCTTTAGAAGCCCTGGTGTGGCGCTGTAGGATAGTCACTGGACTGCTAACTGCAAGGTTGGCAGTTCAAACCCACCAGCCACTCCTTGGAAACCCTAGACAGGGTCGTTATGAGTTGGAACTGACTCAATAGAACTTCACAAGTGTACTGGTTTGACACTATAGGATAAGCACTGAACCCCAAAGGTCAGTTTGTACCGTAAGGTCGGTGGTTCAAACTCACCAGTGGCTCCTCAGAAACCCTAGACAGGGTTGCTATGAGTGGGAAGTGACTTGACCAACGGTACTTAACACAAAGTGTGAAAGAATACAACAAAATCCACCAGTTTTTGAGGTATTAATGCCCTTAATGAGGACAGCAGTAATGAGTTAAATATTGTAACTACACTGACAATGGAATGTAACTAGGAAGTAGTTGAGCATGCTCTGCTTTAGCCGCCGCACAACTGCCCAGCCACAAAAAAGGCCCCACAGGAGAGAAGCCAGCCGACTGAACCAGCAGGCCCTCCTCCTCTGGGCTTCCCCTCCACAGCAGCTCAGACCCACTGGGTTAAGACATGTATCATGGTTTGTAGTTACTCACTGGCATGTCTGGGGTTCTTCAGGAAGGGGTGGGTGGATTTCCATCTACATCTCCTGCAGTATTTTTAGCAAAAACTGTTAACTACACAGGGATGGCATTAACTCCGGAGGACCTAGGATAGGATGGGTGGTATAGACAGGGGTCGCATGGGCCTGGTACCCATCCAGGCTCCACCTAGTAGCCAGGGCGCCATCACATGGAATGCTAGGAATTGGAGACTCAAGTAGTGAACTCTGGGGGCGGTCCAGATACCTCCACCCCTTTAAGATTTGCTTCTTCAGGGCTCATAGGAAGGTATTAGTGGTCCTGGCAATTCCCATTGGTCAAAAGAGGTGGTGGTTGGGGGAGGGGGAGAGGAGGAGTACTTCTCTGGTTTTCTATTGCAGGATGATGGCTTTAGCTCTGTGAGCTCTGCGGTTGCCACAGCAACTACACTTAAAGGGACAGCTTCCAGGATGAGAAACCCTTGTCATGCAGTTGATCGGATTCTGACTCCCAGGACAGAGTAGAACTGCTCCAAGGCTTTCCAAGGCCGTAATCTTTACGCAAGTGAACTGCCACGTCTCACATCCTCTAAGAGCTGGTGGGTTCAAACCACAAACTTTGACTTTTCAGCAGCTGAGTGCTTCACCATTGCACCACCATGGGTCCTTAGGAAGAGGAGAGGGCTCATGTTTCTTAGACCCTTCTTTAGTACCTAGGAGGCTAGGCCACTCCAAGCATCAGGCAAGACTGTCTAGCTAGGTATCTGGTCTCCCTCCTCTGCCAACTGTCCTGCCATTCCCTATGTGGGGTCACGTCACAATTTCCAACTCTGCTGATGTCAGCTTGAGTCCTTTGCTGGGCAGTAGATCCTGGCTCTTGCTTGACACACCAGTTTCTAGGGCCGTAGGAGGGTTATAGATAGACAGGCTGCACCCCTTCAGTTTGTGTGTGCTCTCGCATATGTGTGTATTAAGTTGTTGTTGTGAAGTGCTGTCAAGTTGGTTCCGACTCATAGGGTTTCTGAGGAGCAGCTGGTGGGTTTGAACCACCGACCTTGTGGTCTGCAGTCCAGTGCTGATCCACAGCGCCATGCCAGGAGTCCGTGTGTTACGTAGGCAGCTATCTCGGTGTTCGAGTGCCTGAGGGGCATGTGTGAGCCTGTGTTCATGTCCATGGCTGCATGTACAATGCCCATGATGCATGTAGGTGTGTGTTTGTGAGGAAGAGGCCAGAGGGTTCCACACACATTTGAACACTTATACACAAGCTGGCTCCTATCTCCATTTAGTGTATGGAAGAAACCGACTCTTTAAAGGAAGGGGATAACAGATCAGAAGCTGCAAGGGATTTGCATACAATTGTTGTTCAATTCCCACCCATAGCAACCCTGTATAGGGTTCCGGAGGAGAAGCTGGTGAGCTTGAACTGTCAAGCTTGTGGTTCAACCTGACTTTGCAGTCCAGTGTATTACCCCACAGTGCCTTTTGAGGAACCCCATTCAGGCAGGATCCCCTGGTAGGGTGTGCCAATCAAAGACCCTCTCCCAGGTCCTGGCAGAGCTGCTGGCCCCATGCCATCGGTACCAGCCCACTGGCCAGTACAGGCTAGAGGAGGACTGGAGCTGTGCTGACTGGTGCCAAGGCACTGGGGGCAGGGCAGTCTGTGTGAACAGAGACTGCTGGTGTCGTCAGTCCTCTAGGGGGAAATCCGAGCTGAGGCCAGAATCTGCCTGGCAGGCCCATCACTCTCATCTCAGCTTACACTTCCTAGGAAACCAGTCACCCTGGGTGGAGACTGGCCCCTTGCTCCTCCTCAGGGAGGCAATGCAGAGCAGTGGGGGGAGGCAGGCCTCGAGGTGAGGTACTCTTGGTAGGTGCAGGAGACCTGGCTTATAGAGAATGTGGGGGCCAGGGCTGGGAGCTCTGCTTATGTAGGAGCCCTGAGACCAACTCAGAGTTCCACAAGACTGACCACCCACCTTGAAGGGTATCACTGTTGAGTGTGGCAACCAGAGCCTTGGCTTTTCTACAACTACCTTGTTGGCAGCTTTCCTCCGCTCCAGGGTTTTCAGTCTCCCTGGGTCCACAGGGCCCTTCCAGCACTGATATACCGAGATTCTACCTCTATATATACCGAGGTTTCTTGCCTCAAACCTTCTGAGAAGGTGGAGTGAGGAGGCTCTGGGAAGTCTGTGTTGAGATGAGGGTATCAGGAGGGGGGTGGTCCAGGACCAGGAGAGTGGGATCTCCTCTCTTGCCCTTGTTCCTGACTCAGTTGTTATGAGTGTTGGTGTGAAGAGGTGACTGTGGCCCCAGGTATGGGTCAGCTACCAAAAGGTAACTGGGGCTCCCCACTCTCACCCAGCTGTGCTCGGAAGCCGGAGCCCCCACCCCCTGCTCTAGTCTCCCTGGAGTCTGGCACCTCTCCTGCTTCTTCCAGGTGTCTCCAATCTCAAGGCCTGCCAGAGTCTCTGGAATTCCTACCTCTGACCCTGAAGACCCCTGAAAGTAAAGGGCTAGAGGGTGGAGTCTCCTCAACATCTCAGTCCTAGAAGGACCTTTCAGGGATACTGTGGTCTCCTAACCCATCTCTAGCCAATGGTGGATCCCCAAACTTGGCTTTTCAGAGCCCTTGCTGCTCACGCTGCCTTTGAGAAGGAAGCTCTTGGTCCTCCTGTTGAAAGGATGGAGACCAGCAGAGGTTGTTACTGCTGTTAGCTGATGACAAGTCCATTTCCAACTCACAGTGATGGACAACATAGGGGAGAACTGACCCATAGCGTTTTCTAGACCGTAACTGCTATGAAAACAGATTTCCAGGTCTCTTCCCACAGAGCCCTTGGGTGAGTTTGAACCACCAACCTTGTGGTTAGCTATCAAGCACTTAACTGATGTGCCACCAAAGCTCTTATTGGCAGAAGTAGTGGTAAAAATCTCCAGGGAGCCAAGGGGAGTCTGTAGCTCCTCTTCCCCCTCCCCCTTGGCTCAGCCTTGAGATCTGTCCGCCACCCCCACTTTTACTTTGCTACCCTAACTATTTGAAAGGGAGGTGGGTGGGGTGGGATAGGGCTGTGGAGGCCAAAGGTGGAGATAAGAAACATAGGGCAAGGAGCTCCTAACACCTGTGCTTTATTAAGCTCCCTGTAGACGGCCTTATCACTCCTAAACCAACAGGCTTGGGTTTACTCTGCAAAGACTGTTCCACCTGCTCACATGGTCTGTTGGCCTGGTGGAATGGCTGCCTGAGAGGAGGGCACAGATACAAATAATGCAAATGTTCAGAGCCCAAAGCACCATTTATCCAGGCCCCATGGACTCAATTAGCCCTAACTGCTCGCTACCCTGCCTTCAGGAGCACAGACACTGGGGTGGTCCTTGGTCAGAGACCTTGAACATGCCCCAGTCCATTCTGGATGGAGCCCCTAACTGAAGGGTCGGGCCTGAGAATGCCCTGGCCTCAGAGCTTCTACCATACCACACCCCAAGGGTTCCATCATCCAGCCTAGCTCAGCACCATATTAAATAGCTTCTTTGCAATCTCGCTTAAATAAACCCATCCCCAGAGCAACCCTTCCCACCCTGAACATATGATCCTACTGGCTAATGCCTTCTAGAGAGCAGAGGAGCTCTCTCCTTCTGCCCTCTGCTCCAGGAACTCCCCTCTCCCTAAAAAATTAGTTGGGGGGATAGTTCTCCCCTGAATCCTGGGACAGACAGAGACAAGGAGAAGCCTAGGTTGGGGGAGAAAAGCCAGGAGTCCCTAAATCTATCCCTTCCTTCCCTAGGACAACTTCTTCTGGCCCTCTTGGCAGTCTGGATGTGAGATATCCAAGGCCAAACCCTGGGATTTGTAGGAGGCCCCCTGGCTTAGAAAGTCCAAACTAGCTCCAGGGCAGGGGACTGACCCCAAACCTGCCTCCTCCTTTAGCCCCCTTGCAGACATGGAGTGAGCTGCGGAAACTGCACTTCCTCCAGACGCCCTGGGACCACCTGCAGGTGCCCTCCACTCTCAGGATGTCCAGGTCTCTCTTGCTCCCAGGACCTGGGAGCAGTGGGGCCCAGGGCCTGGGCAAACTTGTCCCTGGCCCAGTCAGCAGCGGGGGCCCAGGCCAGGCCTCACACCCAGTACTGGCCATTTTTGAGGGCAGGGTTGGGTGTCCGGCAGAATTGCAGCAGCTCTGGGTCAGGCTGGCTGCCCGGTGGGGGCCCCTGGCCAGGCACTGCCGTTAGTGGGATGGCCTGGCCTGGCTCTACCTTTCGGAAGGTCTCACTGTCACCGGCCAAGCCGTTGCGGGGCTTGGCAGTCAGGATCTGGACGTTGTGTTTGCCCGTCTTGTTGCGTTTGCGGAGGTAGAAGAGCAGGGGCAAGATGAGCGCCAGGAGCAGGAGGACCAGGCACACAGGGATGATGACGCTGAACATGTTGGCCTCGAGGAAGCTCAGGAAGCCTCCCCTGGCCTCAGTGGGCACGGGGCTGGATGCTGCAGGGCCCAGGTAGCTGGTCGGGGAGCTGTTTTCTGGTTTCTCTGCTGCTTCTGTCTGAGCAGCCTCAGGGAGACTGAGCAGGGCCACGCTGTAGGGCCGGGCTGCATTGTAAGGCTCAGTGGCAAAGTCCAATGAGGCCACAGCAGGTGGGACCCCCTGTGCCCACAGCTCCAGCGTGAGGCTGTCGCCCGTGCCTGCGGGGTCAGGGGGCCTGCCCACCTCTAGCCCCAGTCTCCCATCCTCAAGGTCCTTCTGGGTGAACTGTTCCACAAGTTGACCATCCCTGGGCTCCATGCTGGCCCGGGGTACACGAACCACACGGCCGTGTTGGGGGCCGGCCAGGAGGCGAAAGCGAGGCACACTGCGTGTGAGGTTGGCCAGCTCAGCTGCATCTAGGACAGCAGGGTCCAGGCGCAGGGTGGCACCCTGGGGCCATGGCCCACCTGCCCAGACATGCAGCAGAGCCCTCACAGTGATGTTCACTACGGCTGATGCATTGGCACCCCGTGCTTGTGCCAGGACGCTGAAGTAATCGTGGGCAGAGGAGAAGTTGGTGAAAGCAAAGACCACCTGTCCCTGGTCTATCTGGAGCTGGCTGAAAGCTGAGGCGGGCTGCCCGCCCACCAAGAGATGCCCATACTGAGGACCCTGGATGAGGCGGTATGCTGCATCCGGTTCCTCCCGATCTGAAACCACTTGGAGCTGTTGTCGGCTCAGCGAGGCACGGCCTAAGGCTTGGGGCACCTCGAGGGGAGCCCGTAGCTGCACTTCAATGGCAGATGGCAAAACATCCACAGCCAGGGACATGGACAGGGGTGGGCTGGCCCCATCAGATACACTCAGCTGGAAGATGCCAGCCACACTGCTTCCGTTGGCCATGAAGGTCAGTCGTCCTGCATCCACATCAGCCTGGGTGAAGTGGGTCACTGGCCCTGGGCTGCCCCCTGCCAAGTTCAGGAAGCCATTGTGGGGTGCCCGCTGCACCTGGTACTCGATCTCCCCAGGAGCTGAGTCTGGGTCCACCACACTCAACTGGGCCCGGGAGATGGGGGCCCGGGAGCCCCGGGTGAGCCGGAGTGGGACCGAGGCCTGGGGCTGAGGTGGCCGCTCATTCACATCCCGTACTGTGATGATAAAGGCCTCTGAGGTTTGGGGCCCTGCCACAGAGGCCCCTGCCGGTCCCTGGAGGTGGGCATGGAAGTGGAAGCTGTCCTGCTGGGAGCCCCCTCCTCCATGAGCATACTCCAGCTGCCCTGTGGCCAGCTCCGATTGCAGGAAGTGTGGTCGCCCGGCGTGAAGGGGCTCCCCGGATACCAACAGCTGACCCCGGGTGGGGAACTGCGTGACCTGGAAGAGCACATCATGCTTGGGGCGCTGGGGGGACGGAATGCTGGCCAGGAGGTTGGAGGCATCGAGGGCAGTGACGGTGATCTCGGCCCGTTGGCCTTCGGGGACCCAGAGACCTGGAGGTGGGACACAGACTGTGAAGATCCAGTCTGCCAGAGTTAGGCAGTGGACCCAGGGCAGGGTTGGAATGATCCTCCACACAGTAGGTGCACCAGGATGGGCATTATGCCCCATCTCATACAAGCTCCCAGCTCCTGGCAGTTGGAGGCAGGAGCTGCTGAGTCTGGCCCATGTCCCTCTTGTGTCCCCCCAACCTTGTTAGCCCATCCCACTGTTCACCTTTGTTCCTCCAGAGGCGGCTGGAGCGCTGGGGACAGGCAGCCTCGAAGGACACAGTCACAGTGAAGGTGGCCACCATGTCGGGGGCAGGGGGCGAGGATAGCAGGAGTTCCAGGGTATCGTGGGCCTCCCAAAAGGGTTCAGGGGGCATCTCGTGCTCATACAGAACATGCCCAGCAGACACCTGAGAGAAAGACATCTTGGTTGAAGGCGAGAGGTAGGCCCAGCCTGTGGTGGTCAGCAGCCTCCTCCCTGGCTGGCACTAGGACTGGACTCATGGTCCTCCTGACCACCCCTCAGGGTCCAGCCTCTGGGCTCTCTAGCCTGTGCCCAGCTCCACATCTGGAATCTGCATTTCCCTCATTGCTCACTGGGTCCCCAATGAGCCAGTTGTCAGAGTTCAGATCCTATCTAGGGCACCTTGGTGGCTCTCACATCTCTGAGCCTCTAGGAAAGCAATGACCTAGCTGTGTTTCTGTGTGCAGCAAGTCCTTCCCCCTTTGCTCTGGATCCCATCCTCTCTTACCTCTGAAGACGCCATTCCCTCAGTCTCCTCTCTCTCCTAGGGCCTCAGTTTCCCCCTCGGATGGACTGCTCCCATAAGTGTGTGTATAACACACATACCAGTGACCCTATGTGCTCCACAGGGTTTTCAATAACTGAGGTTTTGGAAGTCGATCACCAGGCCTTTCTTCCAAGGTACCTCTGGAAGGACTCGAACCTCCAACCTTTTGGTGAACAGCTGAGAGGGTTAACAGTAATATTGAGGGACTCCCCTATCAGTATACACATATTCTTTCTTCCATCTTAATGAAAACACTTCTTCTGACTTTACTTTTCTACCAGCTGTCCCCCAGCCTCCTTTTTATTTCTCCTCTGCAGTAAAACTCCTCAGAAGAATAGTCTATATTCTCTTTCTAAATTGTTCTGAACGTATTCCATCTAGGTTTTTGCTCCCATGATACCATCAAAGCCACCATGGGATGAGCTCCAGTGGTCTGTTCTTAGGTCTGATCTGACTCAGCACTGACACCACGGAGTTCTCCTTTCTCTAAATTCGCCACGGCTTCCAGAATATCCCACTCTCTTAGTGTTCCTCCATGGCTATTCGTTCAGACTCTTTTTCTTCAGCATCGTATTACGTAGTCTTCAGGTGTTCTTCTCTCTCTACTGATGTTCCCCACACACTCCCCTCCAGGCATCTATGCTGGTGAGTCTTATTTGTATTTCCAGCTCATCCCCAGAAGGGTGACTCATCCATCCCCCAGCCCCCCACAACTCCACACGTTGTCTAGTGGATGATGGTGAAATGCCCCCACGGATTCCTGGTCTGTCCTGACTCTCACCACATTCCCCACAACTCCGTGCCTGCAGTGGCTCAGGCTAAAACCTCGGACTCCTTCTCGACCTGTCTCTCACTCTATCATCTCTTGCCTGGACTGTTATTCTGTCTCCCTGCTGTAGTCCTGTCAGCACAGAAGCCAGAGTGAGCCTTTTAAAATCTAAGTGGGACTAGGTTAGTCTTTGGCTTAAGGTCCTGCAATGGCTTACTTACCTTTGAGACACAAAAACTCTCCTTGCATATTAAACACCAAGGAATAGCCTTCACTGCCATAAAGAAACAGGTTTCCTCCCTTTTTTAGTCAAAATTTGTCCCTTTGGAGTATCTTTTGTTTTCCCATGTTAGGCAATGCAGGGAACCATTTTCCTTCTCTCAGAAAAATAGAACTTGTGCAACAGTGAGAGGCCAGTTAACTGGGGTCTCAGTGTGTGGGAGTCAAGGGGTGGTGGGGACTGGTGAGCTGAGGATCAGGATCCATTCTGAAGGGAACAGTGTGGGCCTAAAGAGGGACCACTGCTTGTCTGGTGCACAGGGGGATCACCCAGCCTCAAGGGGGAGGCAATGTCTTGGCCCAGCTGATTGTTCTTAGAGGAAGCACAGGTTTTTAAGCACTGGAAATCAGGCTTTTATGTGAAGCCTCCCAAATGTTACATGCTGACAATTACTTGTAAGAAATTAAGCACATTAAACAGGCCAGGTTAAACCTATCTGTGGGCCCAATGTGGCCTGTGACGACTGGTTTATAACTTCTGGCCCTGGCTGGAGGGCGAACAGGAAGGAAACCAAGAGTGGATGGGGTGTGGGGTGGGAGGCTGGAGGTCTGAGCACAGGGGCGTATGTAGTGAGGAGGGGTCTGGTTAGGTGAGAGGCAAAACACAGGCAAGGGGTCTCCAAGCTCTGGGGGAGCAAGCAGAGTCCTTTGGTGAAAGTCATTCTGGATTAGCAACCAGAAGGCATAGTCTTGGTTTTGTCCTTAACTAACCATGTGCTCTGGATAAAGTTGCCAGATCTCTGTGAGCTTTATCTGCAGAACAGGGACGCTGGTCCCTGGCCAGCTGAACTTACAGTGCGGTGGGGCAGTGATGCCCTCCCCCGCCCCAGTGCATGTGTGTCGGCCACGTAGTCTCTTCTCATCCTCCCCAGTGGTTTTGCTAGCCTGGCCCCCTGGTGGTCATTTGACCTAGTCCTTCATATTGCTGAAGTGTGGGGAAGCTTGGGGGTTAATGTGGGGACTGAAGGGAGGGAGGGCCACAAAGACCCGGGGTTCTTACCTCAGCCTGAGTGAAGTTCACCAGGGCGTCCCCAGTACTGCCTTGTTGGGCATGGAACAGCCGGCCCAGTTGAGGGCCCCCGACCACATGGTAGCGCAGGTGGTGGGGATCTGTACCTTCACTGGAGCTGGCTTTCAGATTGTGGCTGCTGAGGGGCTGGATGGACCCTGAGAGACAAAAGGGGGCCTGTCAACCTTTGACTGAGAGCCAGGACTGGGAGCTTTGACTGCAGAGAGGTGGTGTGTCTTGTCAGCTCTGCCTCCCAGCCACCGGGCATGCAGGAGGTCCAGGACAGACCCACCTGGACAGATGGTCAGTGTCCGGCTGCCTTCCAGGGTGAGACGCGGTTGCTTCCGGGCCACCACGCGGAAGAAGTGTCCAGGAGAAGTGTGCTCTCCGTCCGAGAGGCTGAAGTGGAAGCCTCCATCCAGGGCTCCTGGGGACAAGGGTGGAGTTAGAATGGCTCCTAAAGGCCTCCCCATGGGCTGCAGGAAGCAGCAGGATCCCCTCTCAGCACCCACCTCTGTGTGTAAACAGCACCAGCCCGTTGTCCACCTGGGCCTGTGTGAAACTGTGAACCTCAGTGTCTGCTGCCCGCAGCATGAGTCTTCCATTGATGGGTTGTTCGATGGTGTAGACCAGGTCCTCGGGCTTCGAGTCTCTGTCTGTGCCCCTAAGGGCCTCCGGAGGGATGGGTGCAGTGGCCCCTTCCCATATCTGTGGACACAGGTCTGTGAAGGTGCTGCCCCGCCATGTTCACCCACATATTCCTTGTGGGAGCTGCTATCTGATCTCCAGCAGTGTGGGGGCTCAGACCCCTAGCTGCTACTGGGGCCTCTTGCCATTTGGAAATTCCCCTGGGTCCTATTCACCTTCCCAGACACCCAGGACCCACAGACCCCTTCCTCACTATCTGCCCTAATCTTGCCTGAGCCTCAGGGCCAGTTCTGGTTCCCCTACCTCAGTGAAGCCTCAGCTCTTAACCTCACCAAGTTCTCATTCCCGAGACCCCAGTCCTGATCAACAGTGTGACTTCTTGGGATCACTGGGTCTACCCTCAGCCCCTCTACAGCTGGGATTGTTGAGTTTTGTTCTGCCCAAAGACTGAGAAATGGCACACTGGGCTAAGCACTGGGTTGCTAACCTAAAGATTGGTGATTTGAACCCACTGCCTACTCCATGGGAGAAAGATGAGGCAGTAGTCTGTTCCTGTAAAGATTTACAGCCTTGAAAACCTTATGGAGTAGTTTTCCTCTGTCCTGAAAGGGTCACTGTGGATGGGGTACTGAGAGCTGGGACTGAGGGGGGTAGGGGGGTCCAGTCTGGAACATTGCAGCAGGCCTGGGATGAAGATCCTGGTGTTTCCTCGGTAGTTATGGGCCCTGAGCAGGTGGGGAGGGGTAGCCAGGCATACTCAGTCCCTGTCATGCACAGAGTGAAGGGGAATCCCCCCTCACGCGCTGGATTCTGTTCCTAGGATTAGGGTCCTGTTATATGAACAACTTGTGGTCGGTGTTGAGGTGATGCTCCCATATCCAAAAATGTAAGCCTATAGGGATTCGTGGGTTCCCGCCCCGTCAGAGTTGGGGAGGGAGGAGCTACAAGGTATGGCGGGGGGTTTCAGCGCTGGGCTCCTAGAACAAACATGGGTGAATACCACCACCTGGTGGCCATATTGCCGCACAGCAACCCTGCCTGCAGCTCTAGGAAAGCTCCCCACAAACTTCTTACACCACCACCGACTCCCACTTTGGAAACTTTCCAAGGCTTCCGCTGACCTGTGAGTCTCTACACCAAAGGGTCCCCACCCGCTGTTGCATTGGGGTCAGGTCACACCGTTTCTGTTTTACAAGTCACTACTTTTTGTGACCCCAGAGAAATTCGATCATCTCTCTGGGCCTCAACGCAAAATGGGTAAAGTTTAGAGATTTGGGGAAACAAGCTGGGGTCCGAGGGTGGAGGTGAAGAACTTAATTACCTCCTACCCTCATGGGCTTGAAAGAACTTTCTCCAGGAGTTCTAGTCCTAAGCCCAAGAAAAAAAGTGCCAGCTGTTTGCAAACCCAGGACTTTGCAGCGGCTTTTCACAAGGCTGCCCTGAGTACTGTGTTCAGTAACAAAGTCTCACACCTGTGTTCCATGTCTGGAGCACTACTTCATCTCTCCTCCCAACAACCCTGTGAAGCAGGTGCCAATGTGCCCATTTTACAGAGGAGGAAACTGAGGCTCAGAGAGGGAGAGTTGCATGCTGGGAAGTAAGAGGAGGTGGGGGCGGCTCCAGGGCTGCTGTCACCTGTAGGCCTGTGTTTGTGGTGAGGACAGGGGGTTGGTCATTGACAGGCACAACAGTGATAGTAAAGACTGCGGGACGGCTCTGGCGGTCTATCTCTGAAGCATTGGCCACCAGGACAAAGGAGTCTGTCAGTGTTTCGCTCCCATCGTGCACATAGCGGATCAGTTGCTGTTGCACCTGCAGGAAGACCGGGGGCTGGAGGTGAGGTCCCAGAAGGTACCACCCTTCCCACCCTGCCTTTGGGTGCAGAAGATAGACTTCTCCAGAGCTTCAGTGTCTGCAGGTGGGAAATGGGGATAAGAAGTTCTGTCTCCCAGAGTGGGTATGAGGAAGGACTGTACACACGCCTGATGGGGAGTCCCCGGGTTTGCCCCACCTTACCCCTGAGCTGGCATGCACACCCAGCGCCTTCCCGACAGCCATACCTCTCTCCAGGAGAAGGCCCAGAGGGTCTGATCTTGAGGTTCTTCCTCCCTCTGCAGGGTCCCGTGCTGGGGCGCTTCTAGCACCTGCAGCTTGAGGCCCAGCAGCATGGGGAAGTAGGGCCCAGTGATGTGGAGCAGTGGAGGGGCCAGGGTGCGGGAGCCACCCTCAGGGACACTGAAGTTCTGTGTTTCCAGAGGGATCGTAGCAGGCAGCACCTCCAGTTCCATGTGGATGTCCTCCAGGGTAGCACCCAGGCTCGAGGCCACGTCCAGGGAGAAGACATCCCTCCAGGCCTCGGGACGGGAGTGTAGGTACAGGACCTGGCCGGCATCCACTGCCTCCTGTGAGAAGCTCTGCACAGGGTCCAGACTGGGTGGCAGGTCTGCGGAGGCGCCGTGGGACACCATCACCAGGTAGCCAGCTTGGGGTGGGGTCTTCACTGAGAACACAATGTCTGCGGGAGCCACTGCCTCCTGGGCTGCCTGGTCACAGAAGGAAGCTGTCCTGGGTCCTAGTGACCAGAACAGCTTCCACACCCTAACCCTCTCACTCTCCCGGGGAGTGCCCAAGACATCAGACACCTCTGCTCACTTAGACACACAAACACACACTCAGGTTCACACACACAACACGGAGACACACAGCCCCCACCAGAGGTCACACTCTCCTACCCACCCTGTGACATAGTTACATGGTTACATGGCCTCAGAGACCACACAATCACATATCTTCAGACTTAGGGACACAGACATATAGCACACATTGTTGTTGTTGTTATGTGTTGTGGAGTTGGTTCCAACTCAGCGACCGTATACAGGGTTTCCGAGGCTGTAAATC